GGTAACAATTAATAATGGTAACCAATCTTTAATGGTATACACTATACACTACATTAAACACTATATAAGAGTGGTGCTTTGTCATGCATAACTAAGAAGGTCTTGGGTGGTTGTGACATAGTTACTATATAACAGGGGTGGCGAACTCCGGTCCTGGAGAGCCGCAGTCCTGCAGAGTTCAGCTCTAACCCTAATAAAAACTCACCTGCCTGAAGCTTCCTAGTAACCCTTCAGGCCTTGATTAGCTTGTTCAGGTGTGTTTGATTAGGGTTGAAGCAAAACTCTGCAGGGCTGCGGCTCTCCAGGACCGACGTTTGCCACCCCTGCTATATAAGGTGCTCTGAGTGATTTGTAGTGCATTACTGTATGGTTGCTAGGTGCTGCTGAACCTCCAGCAATGAAAGTCTATGGTTGTGTCCCAAATGAGTGGGGTTCCCAGCAGTGGTTCCCAAACCTAGTCCAGGAGAACCCCCAACAATGCACATTTTAATTCAGTTTTTTTTCTCCCTAATGAAACACGCTTGATTCAACTTATCAGCCCGTTAGTAGACTCCAAAATCTGTGTGTGTCATATAAGAGAGACATATAAAATATGCAGTGTTTTGGGTTCTCCAGGACCAGGATTGGGAACCACTGCTATACACTATGCACTTACAGTATACTATTCACTATGTACTCAAAGTCTAGGGTATGAATAGTATTAGGTTATTTTGTTATCCAACTTCAGAGTCTGAAATTCCCTCCACTACATAAGGAAAGCTTTGACCCATGAATGCATGGTGTCCAACATTCTACACTTTGTTGTTTCAGTTAAATTCTTGTTGGAATTTTCGGTTTGAATATTCTACTCACACTATTTATACTATAAAAGAGTATAGAGAATAAGTACACCAGGGATGGGCAACTCTGAAAGTTGCAGTTTTTGGTCAGTTTGTGTGGTTTTTGATCAACTCTTTCCACGTTTGATTTAATTTATAGCAATAAATTAGTATTGTATGCTATTAAATATTCACTTAGTTATCACCAAAGCGCTCTCTCTCTGTTTTGTTGTATTTTGTTGTAGATCCTGTATCCCTTAACATTTATGTTGGCTCAGAAATCTATCTGAAATAGAATGTGTGTAAAGGTAGCCTGGAAAGTCATTGCTTCATAGGGCAGCAACGGAACAAGTCAGCTGCCTAAGCTTTGAGGCACAGCATTAAAGCTAGGTGAGTTTGATCAGGGTTGAAGCTAAACTCTGCAGCAAAGTTGTCTAGCCATGAAGTATGCGGATTAAGATGCACCTTTTCTTTCACATGTATTTGATTGTTTTCTGTTTCCAAATTATAAATCTGATCACTCAGAAAGATCTAAACAAGATAGCAGAAATAAACACAGTAACATTGAGACTGAGCCTTAGAAGTACGCTTAGAAGTTTTACTTGAGCTAACTCACACAGGGTTAATAGTCTAAGACTCACACAGGGTTAATAGTCCTGTCATGGAATCATAACTGAACCTGAAAGACTAATATGGAGGTTTTACAGACGTTTTACAGACTGACGTTTCTGTCAACCAACACTCACAGTATCACCAGATCTAAACACTGAGGCCTTGAGTTCATGTTGTTGCCTCTCAGTCACCAATGGCATTCTTCATATTATTTCAGTGCTCTTGAAAAATTATGGGTGATTCTGGCAAAGAGAACCTGAGTGTTTTTCCCCTCCAATCCAAAATTGCAGGAATGTCTTTGCTAAATTCATAAATTTGCACAATGATATTTGCAAGTGCGTAATCATCTCAAGTGCAAATGCTCTTTCACTACTGCTGTGAGCTGTTGTGATGACAGCAGATGTGTGTCAAAAAGCAGCTGTCTGATTGACTGCCTGTTAAATTCTAATGTTCTATTTCTTGTTTACGCTTCTGTTAATCCTGCATATGGACTCGGGCTCTGATTGGTAATGTGCTTTCTGGTTAAATATTAGCCTGTTGCGCAGTAATGGGCACTGTGGCTTCTCTGGGGAATTCTTGTGAGTGGAAATGAACATTCTGATGGCATTCAGTGTTTGCTGAGAGATTATGAGGATCACATTCAGCAGCACAAAGCATATATTTTCACAGCTCAGCTTTGGAATGGCTGAGAACATTAAGCCAAGGAAATGGAGCGTGGTTGCAATACCACTTTTTTAGACAGCCAAACACTTTAGTGAATGGAGCACACGGTCATCTGGTGTGTGTGTGGATCTTCACCGAAATAACAACTTTACAAATAGGATAATCAATCATTAACATTAGTCAACTAAATAGTGCACTACAAGTCAAAACGTTTTGATTTTTTTTTCCCCCAGCATGAATGCATTACATTTATTGAAAGAGACAGTAAAGACATTTATAATGTTTATACTTTCTATTCATTAAAGAATCCTGAAAATAATGTTTTATGGTTTCCACAAAAATATTAACATTTCAACATTGAAAATAAGAAATCTTCCTTGAGCACCAAATTAGCATATTCTAATGATTTCTGAAGGATCATGTAACATTGAAGACTGGAGTAATGGCTGCTGAAAATTCACATGAATAAATCACATTTTAAAATATATTCAAAAAGAAAACATTTTAATTTGTAATAACATTTCACAATATTACTGTTTTTACTGTATTTTTGGTCAAATAAATGCAGCCTTGGACAGCATAAAAGACTTTAACATTAAAATATCTTACTGACCCCAAACCATGGAACGGTATCATTAACCAACAATATACAATAATTTTACACCATTTATTAATCAGTTTATATTATTTTTACATATTCTTCTCAGCATTTCAAATTCAAAGTTATATGAATAACACTGAGTAAATGTATCATGACAAACATGAATTAACATTAATCAATGGTATATTTATAAATTGACAATCGACTAAATCAATAAACGTTGTGAAACAAATTGTTGCTCTATATTAACAAATCAAACCTAAAAAAAAGACCACTGAAATCTTTCTCACCATGAAGTATCTCTGCTGGAACAGATGGTCTTTTGTCATTTACAATGATTGCATTGGTCCTTGTTTGTAGTGAAGAGGATATGAAAACGCTGAACACATAAATGCTGGGAAAATAAACTTTATTAGACCACTGCATCCAATTAATCTGTTAAAGTGCAGAATTTGGAGGCTGTATAAAAGAGCTGCCCTCAAAACAGTGAGAGATAAATTTTGTTTTTATTAAATAGTTTATAGGCTAGAACTGCCACAGGAAAAGCAAGCAAAAACAGCAACAGAACAATTTCGAGGCCATTTCTACACAGTGTCTAAAAGAATCACCTGGTCTGATTCACACTCATACTCTGCGAGTGCATGATCTGCAAGCACATGATCTATGATATATCAGGAATACATTGTAGTTCCATTGTTAATGCTTATGTAGATGTAAATGGCTCATGATTCGATTCCACAAAAGATTGAAAACTGAAATTAATGTCACCGCTTGATTTCCAACACATAGCTCATTCATATAAAGTGTATTGCTCATTGAAAAGGCACTTAAGCCTGGTAAACAATAATAAATAATGCCAATTAAATAGCATTAAGTCTGACTGCTCATTTACAAGACTGGCTTACGGTATCATATGGTTAAGAAAGAAAAGTGCAGTGCGGGAAATAATAATAATATCAGCCAACCCAACCATGAAGGACTGTCATAGCAGCTGACACTACATTTTTACACTACACAGCATTATTTAAAATATTATTGTGTGAGAGCATGTGAGTGACTGAATGAAGATGGCTGATAATGATATCAGGCTATCCGACAAAGGCATTACACAAGCTTAATCATGTGAAACACCCCTAGCAGAACCACAAAAAATATTGAGAATGAGGCACTTTGTTCAATATTTGTCAAGATTTAACAGTCAGATCCTGTCTCTACAATTAGTACTTGCAATCTGTCTGATTAGCCTGTTGAGCATGTGAAGTGTCTGATTAATACAGTACGTGTTAACCGCAGGATGTGATTTGAATGTTAATAGGATATTCACCTAAAAAATCATTTGCTCATCCTCATGTCGTTCTGTTTTTCTCCTATGGAACACAAAAGGAGGAAAAATATATTTTTGTCCATATAATGAAAGTCAATGGGGTCCAAAATGATGGAAGCTTGATTCCACCGCAGGATACAAAAATAAAAAAGGTAATTGTGATTTTTTTCACAATTTTGACTTTTTCCCCCCGTCGCAACTAAGGTTATATCTCACAATTTGAACTTTTCTCACAATTCTGGCTTTTTTCCCCCTCAGATTTGCAAGAAAACCGCAATTTGTGAGATATAAACTCACAATTGTGAGAGAAAAAGTTGAGATTGAAAAACTGTAAGATAAAAAGTTGCAATTACCTTTTTTATTCCATGGTGCGGAAAAAAGCCCAAACAAAATTGCAAGATGTAAACACAAAATTGGGAGGTATAAATACAGAATTACAAGAATAAAGTCAGAATTCTGAGTTTATATCTCACAACTACGATGTTTTCAGAATTCTTTTTCTCAGAATTGAAAGAAAAAAAAATCTTAATTTTCAGAGTCGCAATTACCTTTATTTTTTATATCATGGCAGAAACAAGCTTCTATACAAAACAACCTCAATAAATCCCACTAAAGTTTTTTTTTTTTTTTTTTAATGGTATGAAAAAAAAGTCATTGTTCTACAATTTTTGTGTGTTTCACAGAAGAAAGTCATACAGGTTTGGAATGACATGAGGGTGAGGAAACACAAATTATCATTTTTGGATGACCCAAAAATGAAAATTCTGTCATTTACTCAGCCTCAAACCTGTATGACTTTATTTCTTCTGAGGAACGTAACGGAAAATATTCTCCATAATGTTGGTAACCAAACAGTTTTGATTCCCACTGACTTCCATTGTAATTTTTTTCCTTACAATGCAAGTCAATATGAACCAAAATTGTCAACATCGGGATTCTTCAAAACATCATCTTTTGTGTTCCACTGAAGAAATTCAGACAGTTTTGGAATGACATTAGGATGAGTAAACGATGACAGAATTTTCAGTTTTGGTAAAGTATCCCCTTTAAATGTGCTCCAAGATCCTTTGGGTGGACACTTATTTTAAAAGGCATGCTCAAGCATCACGGCAACAGAACCTTCCTGAGATGTGGAACCAATCAGAAGAGGCTGTTTAAAGGACACTGCCTTCATCATACAAGCCCCGCCCTCACAAAGGCAGCAGTAAACCCAGGCGTCGAGCGTCAGTGTAGGGTCTGGGGATGCAGGGGCCGCTGGGATGGATGAGACGATCGAGATAGGTTCAGAGAGATCACTGATGCTCCCCGTTACAGCTCGCCCTTCCAGTAACCACTCGTTACCTGCCGAGAAAAACAACATGGCTTAGTGTGCAGTCAATGGACGATTCCTGTAACGTTTGATATTTCTGGCTGTTTGTTTGGAAGGCATTGGTTCCTGAAGCACCATGTGTCTGGGTGTAAAACAACACATATACATCTGCCAACACAATGAAATATTTCTCTGGCAGTTGATGGGGACTTTCAATATGCATACAAACACAATTTCAGTAGGGAATCATGTGCGTTAGCGGTGAAAGGAAACGCCTTTTGTTAATGGTTCTGCAATGCAGTGTGTACCAAGTGTGTCACTGGCCTTGAATCAAGGGCAGGCTACTAAGACAAGTGCCAGATAGAATTAGGACAGCGTCCAATCAAATGATCCCCAGTGAGACCGAACCAGAGAGGACGTGTGCAAAGACCTACAGGGCTGACCTACGTAAAACATAAGCACAGAGTACAAAACATAAACCGTCAGAAAAATGTTTTTATGACGGCATGTTTACATATTTTTCACATTATATATGTTGATTTATCTTTTGAAAGCTAAAAAAAAAATTCTGTATCAAATGTTATTTTTTAAAAGTACAATCAAATTGTCTTTCAATAAAATAGATGACACTATGTTTGATATTTAGTTATCTAATCATATAACATTAGTTTGTTGTTGATTAAGTGTGCAAATACTTACTAGGGCAATTGTACTACAGTTTAATACATTTATGCAGAACATTTTAATAAATATATCATACAAAAAAAAAAAAGAATTATGCAAATAAATTCTTAATACCTAAAGGCCATTCTCGTTAAATAAAACCTGTTTATGCAACTACATAAGCCTACAATTTTAATAATATAAAATGAAATACATTATATTTAAATTACATAAAAATGATTACAATAATAATACAGCAATATTACAAGAATGTAAAATAAGAGTTTTCTATTTTACTATATTTTAGAATATATAATTAATTCAAAAGACATTCAGCATGATCCTTCAGAATTCATTCTAATATGATGATTTGGTAATCAAGTAGCATTTCATATTATTATCATCAGTGTTTAAAATGTTGTGCTGCTTAATATTTGTGTGGAAACTAAGACATTTATCTGAAATAAAAATCTTTTGTAACAATAAACATCTCTTTTGATCAATTTAATGCATTCTTGCTGAACAAGTTACATTTTTTCTAAAACAAAACAAAACAAAACAAAAATCAAAACAAAAACTTACTGACCACAAACTTCTGAACGGTAGTGAATATAAAATCATAAAAATTGAAGTCACTTTTTTTTTTGTCACTTTTCCCAAGTCTCCATTAATTTCTGACCCTGCTTGCTGATATAACCATTTACATAATGATAATTTTCCAGGGGGTCAAAATACAGGAATTTTAATCTCACACTTGTATTTACATATAACACACAAAACATTTACACTAGTAACTACTACACACGTGAAGCCACCCACAAACAAGCACTCACGGTAATTTGGTGAATAATTACAGTCAGTCAATCAAAGTCAGACAGAACTAGTAGCTGCCGTTTCTGAGAATTTAACGCCCACAGCCGTTCAGGCTTTTCTGGTCCTAATGGGTGTCTTTGTTCTAATTATGCAGAGTAGCCCCCCGGGACTTTTTGTCACCTCAACTACGACCACTTTCGTAAACTAATTAGGTGCTTGTTTATTGGATGGTAAAATGTTCTGGTGCAGAGCGTAGACAAACAATCAGTGTGATGAGCAGAAGTCGTCTCTGGTGACTGGGCTAATTATCAATCATGGAAGATGTGCTTTCGGGTGGGATTGACGTTTTTGTGCAGAAGAACTGAGAGAAGAGACAACAGGAAAGACAAATGTTGCAGCAGACGGACGGAGGGTGAGGCAGAAATGATGATGCTAAAAAAAGAGAGCGAGATAGGAAGGGTAAGATAGAATGAAGGGTTGACCGTGTGTTGGGATGCATAGAGGAATTGTTTATTTATCCTTGGATCATCTCCCAGTATGGCCAGCTGGTCCCTAAAGCCTGCTGAAAATGTGTGAACACGGCAATCCAGCAAACAGAAAACTATAGTTCACCCCACGGAGGAGCCCCAGAGGAATAGTGTACAAGGTGCGAAAAACTGCATGTAAATAAACACACGTTTTACATAATTGGCATTGGGAGCTAGTGAAGATGCTCTTATTGGATACATTTGATTTTGTACCTTCTGCAGATAAGCTCCAGAAACTAGGGGCTTCTTCAGTCAGCTTGGTCCCAGTCGGTAGTGCCAATTTCAGAAAAAGAGTGACTGACTGCCCTGAAGAAACTGTGATTGATGGCATTGTAAGGACTGGGGCTGATTTTGGAAGTTTGGGAAGCTTTCTGACCGCAGGTGTGCTGCTAGTGGCAGTTGTGAGGACAGAATCAACCTCTTGCTGAACAACAATGGGAAACTGGTGCAAAAAGAGAGAGAAAACAATAAGCCAATCGTTAAGAATGACAATTGACAAATGACAACCCACATGTGGGGACTCACCAAAGAGACCGTTTTGGTCTGCAGGTCCAGGACTTTGATGCAATGGTTGTTGGTGTCCGCCACATACAGCAGCTTTCCTCCTTCACCCAGACACAGGCCTCCGGGTTCGTTGAAGCTGGACTCCAGAAAGCCTGGGCCAAGTCCATTCCCAGCCTTTCCTGTGCCTGCACACACCCTGCACTGCTTAGTCTTCGGATCCACCACTTTGATCTGCAACGGAGAAGAAGCTCCTTCATGACCATGGAGTCATTGACCATTGGTAGTGCTTGCCCATTCAAAAACTTGCACCACTTTTTGTGGTTAAAGGAATAGTTCACCCAAAAATGAAAATGTATTCACCCTCAGGTCATCCAAGATGTAGAGCTTGTTCATTCATTGGAACAGATTTGGAGAAATTTAGGATTACATCACTTCCTCACCAATGGATCCTCTGCAGTGAATGGGTGCCGTCAGAATGAGAGTTCAAACAACTGATTAAAAACATCACAGTAATCCACAAGTGATCCACATGCCTCCAGTCCATCAGTTAACGTTTTGTGAAGTAATACTTATCGCTTCTGGCCAAAATATGAGTCCATATTCCATAATAATGCTTCCTCCAGTGAAAAAGTCCATCCCCTGTTGTCCTCACACCTTAAAATCCACCTACATATTTGATTAGAACCATTTTTGGTGCTTTATCTGTGCATATTTCTCTCATGATTCAGACGAGACAACTTTTCTACTGGAGAAAGCAGTAGTATAGATTGTCTCATTCTGATGGCACCCAATCACTGCGGATGATCCATTGGTGAGCAAGTGATGCAATTCTACATTTCTCCAAAACGGTTGTAATGGAAAAAGAAAAAAACTCAACTACATCTTTGATGGCCTGAGGTAGAAGAAAATTCAGTAAATAAGTATGAGAATTTGAAAAAGATCCGCCCCCCCCCACCAAAAAAATTTTGTTTAAATAATAATAATAAAATAGGGTTAATGCTCACAAAAATACGTTTGTCAAATGTTTTCTTTATAAAGTGTATTAAGCTTTCTTTCTTTAAAAAATTACCCTTAGTCTGATTTTATCCAATCCGTTTTTAAATGCTGCTTCAGTGTCAAAATATATACTGGGGCTACAATTTGATTAATTTTTGCAAATAAATCATGAATTCTAATAAATCCTGAAGGCTGTAAGAAATCAGCATTTCTTTTTATGCAACTATATAACTAGACCTAGATATATATATATATTTATATAATATAAAATCACATACATGCATACACATGCATATATAGTAAATACATATAGTGTTGAAAGTTTATTTTAGCTTTAAAATAAAAGTCACTCAATAGGACTTCAGTGCATTCAGTGCAGTGTCTGGTGCAGAAAGACTGACCTTGTGATTGTAAGAATCGGCTACATAGAGGAGGCTGCTGCCCTCATCCCAGGACACTCCTAATGGATGCTGCAGTTTTGCATCTATGCCTTTACCATCAACGTCTCCAAACGCAAAAAGGTTCTGCTCAAGCAAAGAAAAAAACATACTCTTTAAAGGCCATGCATGATTTCTTGACCGCTTACCCATGCGAACAACATTGCGAATGTATAAATGAGCCTTTTCTGTATATTTACTCAATCACAGCGCTGTGGTGGTCTAATGTACAAAATAAGTCACTGAACATCACAAGGGAAGAAAAAAAAAATCTCATTAATCCCAGTGACCAAATATGGTGAAACCCAATCCATTCTCATTCTCTGCCAGAAGAAAAGAGTCTACTCAAAGGAAATCTAGCAGATCTGAAAAATGTCTCGACTGCTCCAAGGAATGGAGAAAAATAGTTTCTCATTCAAATCACCTAGGTTCATTAAGTGATAAAATTGCTCCACGACTTCATTTATTAAATGTCTCCTTGTATTATAGTAAGCTTTGGGATCTTGTAGTGCCAAACAAACTTGTACAAAAAAGTGCTTTACATTGCATGTAATCAACTGTGATAATTTATGACCCCATAAAAATGAAAATCTCTCCATGTGGTGTTTTTCCTTATGTGAACTGGGCAACAACACACTCCTTCCCTTATAAAGCATGTGCAGGGAAGACAAAGTACTCAGTAGGGAGAGAAATGATCTGATACTCATCAGAAGAAATAAAGGTCTGCCTGACCAAAGAGCAGAGTCCTCACAAGAGAATTTTAACACCTTTAAACTTCTTTCTTGGTATCTGATTGGCTTATAATTCATTGCATTAACCCGGCTAATAATGTATAAAGAACTTTTAACTTGTAAATAGATTAGACTCTTTATACAGGTTTATAAGTGTTAATTTACTTATAAACAGCCTGTTTAAAATTACAACTTTTATAAACTTTTGCTACACAGTGAGCTTTTCACCCATAGTATTGTTGTTTTTTTTGGGGTTAAAAGTGACTTTAATAATATTAATGAAAATGATACCTGAAATAAAACGAAGACTAAATAAATAAAATAAAATATAAATATTACAATAAAAAACTAAATATTACAAATTAAATATTAGATAAAAATAAGAAATTTTGCTTTGGCAGCTAACTGATTTAAATTAAGTTAAAGCACTAAAGTTACAAAAGCTACAATTCTAATCTAAAAACACTGCCAAAAGCATATAGAAAAATCACTAAAATAAAAACTATAAAAATTTAAAAATAAAAGCTAATTCAAAAGATTAATAAATACTGTAATAGTAAACAATACTACAATAACATATCTATTATACTAGATATCATCTGGCATCAATATTATTAAAGCCACTTTATTATATTAAAGTGTTATAGGGGTGCATAAAACAAAAAAAAGGGTGAGAAACACTGATCTTTAACATGTTAAACCAGGGGTCACCAGACTCGGTCCTGGAGGGCCAGTGTCTTGCAGAGTTTAGCTCCAACTTGCCTCAACACACCTGCCTGGATACTCACGTATCCACCTTATTCTTCATGTAAAAATGGGCGTGGCCATTTGTAAGTGATATTGGTCTTGCTTCCGGTTTCATTTGCTTCCAGCTATTTTTAGCTGTACAAAACCACTCGTTTTGCGGCTTGATACTGCAAATAGGTGTATCTTACCATATTATTTTAGTGTATTATCTTAATTATGAACACTGGTTTGTAATGCAAACAGTTTTACCATTTACTGCATGTTGCTATTCTTCTCGTTATTCCCCTATAGCTGCTAATGAACCGGAAGTCTCGCCCATAGGCTTATTCTGAGTTTAGGAATAAGGTGGATACCCAGCAAGACCTTGATTAGCTGGTTCAGGTGTGTTTGATTAGGGTTGCAGCTAAACTCTGCAGGACACCGGCCCTCCAGGACCAAGTTTGATGACCCCTGTGTTAAACTGTTCAGACCTGTAAACATGGCAGGTAGGGCTTACCAGAGGGTCTCTTTCTCCCCCCACCACATGTTTGACTGCTCCATCCTTCAGTGAAAGGCTACGAATGGTGCTGCTCTCACTGTCAGCGATAAAGAGACACTCCCAGGGCTCAGTCGGGGCAAGAGCCAGGCCTGATGGCTGGGCCAGACCCGCTTTATGAGGGTACACGTTATTTCTGTTCTCCTCATTCCCACTGCCCGCAAAGCGCACACATGTTCCTTTTTTGCTGTCGCTGGAAAAGGCATTAGATAAAGATGGTTAAGTCTGATTACAATGATTATATGGAACAGTTACTGCTCTTAATTTGGCTGACTCTAAAACAAAAGCCGGAATTGTGACAAAATAACTGCAATTAGGATCTAATAGCATGTAAGAGCAAAAAAAGTATCTGGCACATGGTGCCAGAAAGTCTTGAGATTATTATATTTAATAAAGTATTTTTTCCCCCGCATGTTAAAGCTGTTACCAGTGCTTGCTATGGCTCTAAAAACATCAAGAGAAATGTTACATTTGTGAACAACACACCAAGTTAAAGAGTTCATTTTGTATCAGGACGATCAGAACGATTTCCGCCAACAGTGAACTGTGTGGCTGCCCAGAAAATGACATCACTTGGGCAGTCCCGTGGCCTCTTTATTTGAACGCTGCCTTGACTGTACAGAACTAACATGAGGAGAACACAGGGAGAAGAGCTCACCTCCCTTTGGGAAGCTTCCCGTCCTCCAGGAAGAGAGCCCAGATCTGATGCGTTCCTGCCATGGCTATGCACACTATATCACCACCTGCATAAACACAAACACACGCTATCAAATAGTAAACAGCTTACATGTTTACAACATATTGATGTTGATTATCTTGCTAAAAATAAGAACTAATTCTTAGTCAAGTACACATTAAATGAGTAAACTCGCATAACCTTCAGATCACATTTTATCCTTTCGGGCTGCATAATGATCATTTTACTAGATCTCACCAATGCATGCATGGTCATTCCACATTGTAAATGAGACTGCTTATATTCATATAAAGTAACATATGTTATCTGATGTAGGCATCTGATTTAAATGGATAGTTCACCCAAAAATTCTGTCATTAATTACTCACCCTCATGTCGTTCCAAACCCGTAAGACCTTCGTTCATCTTCGGAACACAAATTAGGATATTTTTGATGAATTACGAGAGCTCTCTGACCCTCCCATAGACAGCAAGGATCCTAACACAATCAAGGTCCAGAAACGTAGCAAGGACATCATTAAAATAATCCATGTGACATCAGTGGTTTAACCGTAATTTTACAAAGCTACGAGAATGCTTTTTGTGCGCAAAGAAAACAAAAATAACGACTTTATTCAACAATTTGTTTCCTGCGCGTCACCCTATAGCGCCATTTTGGAGAGTATCACATACGTAAACAACATATGCAACGTATGTACACGGATACGTTGTTTATGTTGTTTACGCTTTGATCTGAACGTAAACTATGTATCCGCGTACATAGGGTCCCTACCACAGAAATGCAGTAAGAACATCTTTAAAATGGTCCATGTGATATCAGTGGATCAACCGTAATTTTATGAACAAAAAAACAAACAAAACAAACAAAAAAACCCTTTATTCAACAATTCTTCTCCGCATCACCCTGGCACCATTTTGGAAAGTATCACGACGCATGTGTGTGCTTTCCAATGAATGTAAACAAGGTGCAGCATTCTGCGTCAGCAGCATCATGCGCATGTGTTGTTTATGTGCAGGAAAAAGCACGTGCATGCGTCGGGATAATCTCCAAAATGGCACCAGGGTGATGCGGAGAAGAATTGTTGAATAAAGTTGTTATTTTTGTTTTCTTTGCACTCAAAGTATTCTCGTAGCTTCATAAAATTACGGTTGAACCACTGATATCACACGGACCATTTTAACAATGTCCTTACTACGTTGCTGTGCCTTAATCGTGGTAGGACCCTTGCTGTGTATGGGAGGGTCAGAGAGCTCTCAGATTTCATCAAAAATATCTTAATTTGTGTTCCAAAGATGAACGGATGTCTTATTGGGTGAACTATCCCTTTAACTACCTGCCCCACAAATGCATCCCGTTATAACAAAAAAAGTAATAATTCTATATTATACTATATAGACTATTAACTATTATTATTGGTCTGTGGGGAAATTTTTTTTTTTTACCTCAATAATTCACCCTAAAAATGTAGTAAAGGAGAAGTTGATTACAGGACTAATTAATTAAAGGGGTCATATGATGCTGCTAAAAATAACATTATTTTGTGTATTTGGTGTAATGAAATGTGTTTATGCGGTTTAAAGTAAAAAAAAACACATTATTTTCCACATA